CAAAAGAGGGCACTGAGTCACCAGGAGCAGCAGTTCCAGGCGTTGTGAGCTGCGTGACACAGGTGAACTCGGGTCCTCTCCACTGAACCATCTCTCTGCCCCTTCTCCCTTTAATGCATGTGTGCATAGGTGGTGTGTTTCTCTGGCATGTGTACGGAGGTCACTGTGGCCCCCTGGGATCTAACTCAAGTTGTGAGGCTTGGTAGCAAGCACCTTTACCTATCTAACCGGTCCAGAAGCCGTCTTTAAAATAATTTTAGGTTAATAGCAATAAAGGAAAATAGGAAGACATTCATCTGAAATCCATTAGTGAGAGGGAATACTCCCATAGCATTGTGGGCATGTAGATGGTTTTAATAGTAGCTTGTGTACATGATCACCATCTTCCAGATTATATATAAGTATGGTGTTCTTATAATAACAGCCTGATGGGACAGATACTACTGCCTGCCCTCGTTTTACACAGGAGAAACCTGAGGCATAGAGTTAGGCAACTCACACTGAGCTGGACATGATGGCTCACTCCTGTAATCCTAGCACTCAGGAGGATTTTTGTGCGTTTGAGGTGGTTTGTTCAGATTTATATACCTGTATGTGTTTTTATATCATTTCACCCTATTAAGTAAACAGTATACACTTTTGTTCTAAACTTGATTTATTTTCCAGTCTGAGGAGGAAAAACCAACCACGTGTTTTCCTCTGATATGCAAACCATAGCATGCATCTGTTCCTTTGGGTGTGGGACCTTCACGGGTGGCAGACCTGGCATGGGTGGGAGACACTGTTGAAGTAACACCTGATGGTGTTCTCTAATCCAGTTGAGTTGGGGCACCTGGAGATAGTCTGTCCCACACACTGAGGGTGCCCACCAGGTCCAGTCTAGGTAGTCCTGGGAATCAAACCCAAGGCTTCATGCATGCAAGTGTTCTACCAACTCAACTATACTGATAGTCACTTTTCTTTTTTTTTATGGCAGGATTTTGTTTCTAGCCTAGGGTTAAGCTTATCCACTTTAGTCCAGGCTGGCTTCAAATTCACAGCAGTCCTCCTCCTTTCTCAGCACTTGCCTTCCTGGGATTACAGACATGAGTTCCAGTGCCTGGCTTTTAGGTTATCCCCTTACCCTTTTAAAATATTTTATTTATTTTATGTATATCTGCATGTACACCTGCACACAAGAAGAGGGCATTAGAGGGTAGAGCGGTTTTGTGAGCCACTATGTGATTGCTGAGAATTGAACTCGGGACCTCTGGAAGAGCAGACAGTGTGCTTAACAGCTGAGCCATCTCTCCAGGCCTCCCCGCCCCCCTTTTTCTTTCCCTGTGCTTTTGACCACCAGGATTCCTATAACCTGTCCTTAGGTTTAATTAATTTGCTATAAAATAAATTCAAGGAAACTCCCACACTTATGGTTTTATCCTGAAGGCTATAATTAGGCCTAGAGTAAAGTATATGGGAAAGGTGCTAGGCTTTCATGGCTACTGCAAGTACTTCCCCTCCAGGAACCTCTAGTTTCAGCTACCTAGATGCTCTCTTGTCTTTTGTTCTTTGAGGCAGGGCCTCTTTACATAGTCTTGGAACTACCTCACTATGTAGACCAGGCTGGCCTAGGGCTCAAATCTGTCTGTCTCTGGTAGTGCTGGGATTAAAGGCATGTACCACTATACCTAGCTCTTTTTTGGGTTTTTACAGAGACATCACTGCTGCAATTGAAATTGTGTAATATGGCTAGACAAAAGGCACATTCCAAGCCAGGGGTTGTGGCAAGAGACTCCTTGAGTTCTAGGCCAGCCTGGGCTACCTGTGACCCTGTCTCAAAAAATGGAGCTTGTGGTCTGAGTAGCCCAGGCTGGCCTTGAACTTAACTCTGGTTCTCCTCTATGGCCTTTTAAGTGTTGGGATTATAAGCATGGGGCCACTAAGCCTGTCAAAGAAGCAGAATCTGGGTCTAACAGACACAGCAAGAACTGTTGAATATAGACTCTTTAAGCACACATAGCTTTATAAAATTGAGCATGTTAATTAAGCCACAAGGCAAATGTCAAAGGATTCTTATCATAGCACAGTTTAGCCTGTCTGTTGACTTTTTAGCTAGAAATGAATAAGTTAGAAAGACTTTTGGAAACAAACACACTTTATTTTTTGTTTTTTTGAGACAGGGTCTCTCTGTGTAGCTTTGGCTGTCCTGGAACTGAAGAAATCGTCCAGCTTCCTGAGTGCTAGAATTAGCAGCATCAGCTGCCACACCTAATTGTGTATTTAAAAAAAAAAAAAAAAACATTCAAAGTAAAAAAAAATGTACATGTCTTGCCTGTATGTGCATGTGTACCACTGTGTGTCTGCGCCGCTGGAGGTCAGAAACTGTTCATTGGGTCCTGCAGGGCTGTAGTTAAGAATAGTTGTGAAGGGAGAGGACAAGGGAAGGGGTACAGTGGGGATACAAAGTGAACAAACTGTAATTTATAAAAAATATGAATAAATTAAGGAAAAAAAAGAATGGTTGTAAAGCAGTGGTGGCACATGCCTTTAATCCCAGCACTGGTAAGGCAGAAGCAGGTGGATCATAGCTCTGAGTTTGAGACCAGCCTGGTGTACAGAACCCAGAAAAGCCCTGTCTCAGAAAAACAAGACAGACAGACAAATAAATGGCTGTGCAGCCACTGTGTAAGTGCTGAGAGCCAGAAACCCCCTGCAGAGCGCCAAGACCACTTACGCAGGAGGCAGCCCAGATCAAAACAAAGAGACATTTGTCATGTACGATAAACTTGTTTCATTAGGACAGGTTTTTTTTTTCTTTTCCTTTTAGTTTTTGAGACAGGGTCTCATGTAGCCAAGGCTGGCCTAAATTTGCAACGTGTCAGAGGATGACCCTGAGTTCCTTGAGCTTCAAGCCTCTGGCCCCCAAATTTGGGGATTACAGGTATAAATTGCCACTTGGCTCATAAAGACAGTTTCTCAACTGTTTTGTGTTTTCACTCTATCTTTGTTTTAGTCCTGCCCTGCTGGCCCCACTCTTCCCTGTCTCCCTTCTACTCTTATGGCAAAAATACAATTTCATGTATCTGCAATCTAGGATTCCTAAATGAGGACAAATGCCATATTTGTTTCTGTGCATCTGGCTCATTTCATTTAACGAGCTGATCTCTAGTCCCAACCATTTTCTAGCAAATCACTCCCTCCTCGCCCTCTTTGTGGCTGAGAAAAGCTCCATCTAAAGATCAGTCTAGCCTTGAACCCACATCACCGGCATCTGCCTCCTGAGTGCTGGGATTGAAGGTGAGTGCCACCGCCACCTGCAGCTCCATGGAGCTTGTCTGACATGCTTCCTTTGTCTGTTGCCTGTGGCAGGCCACCTAGGCTTATCACTTGGCTGTTGTGAATAGTGCTGCAGTAGACACAGGCAGCCATGTATTTGGAATTTGCTGACGGTAGAGTTCTTCAGGAGCTGGTCAGATGGAAGGTTCAGTGGTTAAGACACCTACTTCCTAGGCCTGAAGATCCCAGGAACACACAGGTGGAAGAGGAAAACCAACACTTGAAAGTTGTCCTTTTGGCCTGGAGGTGGTAGCACATGCCTTGAATCCCTCACTTGGGAGGCAGAGGTTGGGGTCTGAGTTGGAGGCCAGCTTCCTCTACAAAGTGAGTCACAGCCAGTGCTGTTAAACAGAAAAGCCCTGTCTCAAAAACCAAAAACAAGCCAGGCCTCTGCCTCCACTGTTGGGAGCCATTACAGCTGGCTAAGATTTTATTTTTACCTTTTAATTAAGTGTCTGTCTGTGTTTGTGCATGTGAGTGCAGTGTGCAGAGCTAGAGTTGGAAGTGGTAGTGCGCCCTAATATGGGTCCCTCAGTAAGAGCAGCATACAGTGCTGAGCCATCTCTCTAGTCCCAAGAGTCTTAGGTCTTACATTAGGGTTTGATAATTTTAAATTGATTTTTTAAGAGGGGATAAGGATCTAGTTTTTGTTTTTGTTTTCTGTAGATGTGGATGTTTAGATTTTTCAGCAATATTTGCTGATATTTTTTTAATAAAAGTATTGCATTTATTTTTATTTTAGGTATGCAAGTGTTTTACCTGCATGTACATATGTGCTCTGTGTACTTGCCTGGTGCCCATGGAGGCCAGGGGAGAATATCAGATTTCTGGGAACTGGACTTACAGATGGCTGTGAACTGCCATGTGGTGCTGAGCCATAGACTTGAGAGCTGTGATGTAGATAGAGCCAGCCCTACACCAGGCTGGCCTTGAACCCATAGAGCCCCCCTGCCTCCCATGTGCTGGTTTAAGGCTAGCCCCAATGTTAATGTATGTGTATGAGTGCTTTGCCTAGATGTAGGTGCAGGCACATGCGTGCAGCGCCTGCAGAGGCCAGGAGACAGCGTCAGGCCCTCCACAACTGGAGCTAGAGAGCGTGGTGGAGCCCTGTGTAGGCTGGGGGTCCAGCTTAGGTCTTAGTAGGCAAGCACCTTTGTCTGCTGTGCATCTCACTTGCCCTCAAGGCGGCTTTTATATGTATAGTCGTCTGGTTTTTGGGTGACTGCTGTCTGATGCTGCAGTTGATGGGGACCTGCAGTCCTGCCTCCCTCTCCCAAGTTCTGATCACAGGGGTGTGCTGCCTTGTCCAAGTGAGAAGTGCTTTCCAAATGAACAAGTAAGTTCTTCTTCTGAACTTCTTCTCAAATATATTTAGCTAAGCCCAGAGAGATAAAGTCCCTTCTGCCTCTTCCCCTTCTCAAAGGGACACAGCCTGTTAGCTTGGATGACATTGGGTGTCGCAGCTTTCGGGTGTGGTGGATGGCCCTACTACAGATGGATAAAGGACTGTTGGTATCTGTTTTGACCTGCAGCAGTGGGTTTTCATCTGGATGGTCAATTCCTTCCTGTTAATGCAGTCTTGGCAGATGGGGGAGAAGGGTAAGAGAAGTAAAAGGTATTGAACATAGTTATACTGAGGAGTGTTTTGGTGTGATCTGAAGTTAACATCTTACTATTGTTTCTAGGGTTTTGCGGCCTCCAGGTGGTGGGTCCAATTTTTCGTTAGGCTTTGATGAGCCAACAGAACAGCCTGTGAGGAAGAACAAGATGGCCTCTAGCATCTTTGGGACACCTGAAGAAAATCCCCCATCCTGGGCCAAGTCAGCAGGTGCTGGTTTGTTTCTGCAAGGTTACTGTGCATAGCCCAGGCTGTCCTAGATCTCATCCTGTAGACCTCAAACTCAGATCTGACTACCTTTGCCTTCCAAGTGCTGGGATTAAAGGCGTGCACCCCCACACTTGTCAGCAGGTTTTACAAGGTAACCCTTATTCAGAGTCCGATCCAGCCGGATTTGGTACTGATTAGCAAAGGCTGAACCCAGAGCAAGCAAGAAATAAAAATCCTGGCTGGGTGCGGCGTCACACCCTGTAATCCAGTACTTGGTAGACTCAGGCGGGGTGATTGGGAATTCTGGGCTCCTAAGGGGTAGTAGGTACCAGGACTTTTTGAGAGTAAGGATCAGAGGCAGAGTGGCTCTAAAGTAGTTTTTAGCTAGTCTTCCTTTGAGTGTGTCTTTCTTCATTTTGTGATATGAAACTAACACAGTGTTCTGTTTTTGTTCTTCTGCTATATTCTTTTTTTTAAATGATTAATTTTACATGTTCTGAGTGTTTTGCCTGCAAGTATGTATGTACCGTGTAGGTGCTAGGAATGGAACCTGGGTCAGCCTGTGTTTGTTCTTAATGGCTGAGCCATTTCTCTAGCCTCTTACTGTTGTATATATTGGTTTCTAGGTGCCAAGTCTAGTGGTGGCAGGGAAGACTCGGAGTCTCCTGGAACACAGAGAAGTAATTCCTCTGAAGCAAGCTCTGGAGACTACTTAGACCTCAAGGTCAGTGTGATAACAAGACAGGCGAATGGGCTCTGTGGCTGTATGTCCTCTTGTTTTTTTTTTAACAAAAAAATTTTTTTTCTTTTTTTTATTAAGCCGAGTGGTCTTGGTGACGAAAGTTAAGTGTAAAATCACACAGAGAGCCAGGCAAGTGGGCTGAGGGTGGAGCTCAGTTGAGTGTTTTCCAGCTTGCTAGAAGTCCTGGGCCTACTCCCAGCACTTGCCACAGGACACCAGTGTGGTAGCTCATACCTGGGAGCTGGTGGCAACAAGATCAACTACACAGGGAGTTCTAGGCCAGTCTAAGCTACATGAGCTCCTCCTCAAAAAAAAAAAAAAAGCCTATGGGAGGCCAGGGAGTTAGACAAGAGCTAACCTGGCTGACCCACTTAGATGTCTCTTAACATTAGGTCAGTCTTAAACCCTTCAGCATTGATTCTGCGGCCTTCTGGATCCCTCACCTTGGAGTTGAAGGACTATGTCAGCTGTCTGAATGTTTGAGCTGGACTGCAAGAAATGACAGCACTGATGTCACAGTGGGATATAATTGTAGATAGTTTCCACTCAGTCCTCTGGGTGTATATCTGGGAGGGTGCTCACCTGGGAGGAAGTCTTCCTGACTAGGTACCTCAGTACCCTAAGGCATCAACTTCCAGGTGTGGGGAGACTGTGCGGCAGCTGCCTAGGGAAGGAGAGAGAAGAGGGGCAAGCCTAGGCTTCCCCCCCTTTTTGAGAAAAGATCTGGGTAAGAGAGTGTGTGTATCTGTCTTTCTGTCTGTCTCTGTGTTACTGGCTTTGGGTGTTTAGAATTCTGCATAGTTGTATAGACTTGCCCCATACTGCATTGAGGTTATGGGATCCTGCACTTACCTAAATGGAATTTCTTTTTTCCTTTTTGGGTTTTTGAGACAGGGTTTCTCTGTGTAGCCCTGGCTGTCCTAGACTGTGTCTGTGTAGACCAAGCTGGCCTTGAACTCACAGAGATCTGCCTCTGCCTCCTGAGCATTGGGATTAAAGGCGAGCACCATGGCAGCCCAGTCCAAAATGGGATTTCACATTTAATTTCAACAGGGTTAGCTGCTCTGAACTATGACCCTTTTATGTGTTGCAGAATTCAAAACAGGAACTAATTCTGAAATTTTCTTTTCCAGGGAGAAGGTGATATACATGGTGAGTACATCTGAGCACTGGATGCTGTTTCTGTAATGCTGCTAGGTCTCAGTTAACATGCAAATCATGTCTCAAGGGCTGCCATACCCTTGAAAAAAAAGTCAGGTAGTGCAAGCCTTTAATCTCAGCACTCAGAAGGCGGAGCCAGACAAGCCATCCCACTGGTGTCAAGGTTAATCTGCTAGAACTGCACTAATAAAGAAAAAAACAAAACAAAACGAAAGAACCCCTTTTAAAAGACATACATTAATCAGGCCCAAGTTTGGTATGCTTCTTGACATTTCTCATAAGAGGCTCTGGGCTGGAGAGATGGCTCAGGGTTTAAGAGAACTGGCTACTCTTCTGGAGGACTCAAGTTTAAGTCCAACCCACTGGGTTGTAACATCCTCCTCTGACTTCTGTGGGCATCATGCATGTACATGGTGTATAGATATATACATTCAGGCAAAACATTTATGAACAGAAATAAAGCCTTAGGCCAGGCATGTTTTTTTGAGACAGGGTTTCTCTGTGTAGCCTTGGCTGTCCTATACTCACTTTGTAGACCAGGCTGGCCTCAAACTCACAGTGATCTGCCTGCCTCTCCTTCTGAGTGCTGGGACTAAAGTCAGGTGCTTCCACGCCCGGCTGGTGCACATGCCTTTAATCCCAGCATTCTGGAGGTAGAGGTAAGGCATTGAGAGTTCCAGGCCAGCCTGTCTACAGAATGAGTTCCAGGATAGCCAGGATTACCCAGAGAGACCTTGTCTCGAAAAACCAAACCAAACAAAACAAAACTTTAAAAAAACAGGGTCTCACTATATAGCTCTGTTTGGCCTGGAACTTAACTTTGTAGACCAGGCTGGCCTCAAAACTCATAGAAACCTGAATTCTGGGATTAAAGGTGCATGTCACTGTACCTGGCCAGTATAATGGTTTTTGGTCTTGTTTTTTGGTAGCACAAAGGGTTGGATTCAGGATTCTTTGTAATCTAGGGGAACACTAAGGATCACATCTAACCTTCTCTAGGCTTTGCAGTTCTTTTCCTTTTCACTTCCCGAACACTGCCACTGTTAGACCATACGTAACAGAACCTGCTAAAAAACAGCCCCTTCCACACACAGCTCACCTCCCTGTGACTGCTAGCAAGTACTCTTAACCATTGAGCTACACCCCTACCCAGCTAATCTGATTTGTGCAAGTGCATGTTATTTAAAATCTAAACTTTGGAGCTGGGCAGTGGTGGTCCCCACCTTTAATCCCAGCACTTGGGAGGCAGAGGCAGATGGATCTCAGGAGGTTGAGGCCAGCCTGGTCCACAGAGTGAGTTCCAGGACAGCCAAAGCTATACAGAGAAACCCTGTCTCAAAAAACCAACCAACCAACCAGACAAACAAACAAAAAAACATTGGAAAGCCTGGAGATGAGAGAGCCCTGAAGATAGAAGCAATTTGTTTCAAGTGATGGTCTCCTCCCTAGCTGCCCTAGGACAGCTGCAGAGCAGGCGGGGGACAGCTTACTCAAGTATGGAGTCCTCTCCAAATGGTCAGCAGCAGTTTGTCCCCTGGCTATTCTGGGCTCCTGACTACTGTAGCATTTAGCTCATTTGTCATAAAGTAGCAACTAATATGTACTTGGGTCAAAAGTCAGCTCCAGTGCTTCAGTTAGCTTCAAGGGGGAGGATGCCTTCAATGTCCTTAAATAAGATAGGCTTAATTAATTTCAATGTAAGGCAAATTGCTTAGACCCCTAACTATAAGAATGGTTACAGGAGGAATTTGGACCTGCTTTTAGTGGGGAGGGCTGGGTCTGGTGGCCCTGTAATCCATATTCTCAGCATACCAGGAGGACAAGCAAGAGTTCAAGGATCAGTTTGGGCTGTAGGCTGCAGAAAGTGAGGTTGGGGGTGAGCTAGCTAATGAGCTGGGTGTGCTAGTTTATGTCTTTAATTGTTTGTTGAGACAGGGTTTATCTGTGTAGCCTTGGTTGTCCTGGACTCTCTTTGTAGACCAGGCTGGCCTTGAACTTGAAGAGATATGCCTGCCTCTGCCTCTGCCTTGCCAAGTGCTGGGATTATAGGTGTGCTGTGTCTTTAATTTTTAATACCAGCATTTGGGAGATAGGAAGAAGGATCTCTGTTAGATTCAGGCTCTCTAGGGCTACACAGTGAAACGCTGTCTCAAAAAAAAGAAAGGGAAAAAAAGGGACGAGTTTGGACTGTAGAATGAGGCTCACTGGTAGTGTTGGCCCTAGCAAGTGAGTGGCCTGAGCTTATTAGCTTTGCAAAAATAAAAACAGATGTATGTGAGGGAGAGAGGAAATTTAGACAGCAGTTTTCCTTCCTACCTGCGGGCAAGATAAAGGTAGTTACTGTCAATCATTTTTTTCTTTTTAGGCACTAGTAATCTCATTGATTGGCTAAATAGCAAGTTAGTATAGATAAAGTTTATTTTGATGTACAGGCTCTGGGTTTGATCTTCAGTACTGCTGTAAAATAGTATTCCTCTGTAAAATTACTAGCTTGAACAGTGGTATTCATTTTCAAATTGCCATCAAAGTCATACCCTTTTAGTTCCCATTTTTAAAAAAATTTAAATGACTTTTTATTTTATGTATATGGGTGCTTTACCTGCATGGATGGCTGTGCACCACGGTGGTTGTAGTTGGAGGCCTGAGGTCGGTGTTGGATACTCCAGGACTGGAGTAAAATCGTGAGCAGCTGTGTGGGCGCTGGCACCTGAACTGAAGTGGGAGAGTAGGCAGTGCTTTTCAATGGAGCCATCTCTCCAGCTCCCCTGCTTCTTTTTTTTTTTTTAATTTTGAGAAAGGGTGTCATTCTGTAGCGTGGGCTGGCTTCAAATGTGATCGTTTACCTGCTGTCCCTCGAGCGTGCTGGATTACAGGTGTGCACTGCCAGCCTGCCAACATTCAGCTCTTATTTTCTTTTCGTTTTGGTAGACCAGGCTGGCCTTGAACTCATCTGCTTGCCTCTGCCTCCCTGAGTGCTGGATTAAAGTTGTACGTCACCACCACGGGGCTTTTTTCATTTTTGAAGCAAGGTCTCTGGTAGTCCAGGCTGGCCTTGAACTCTATTCTCTCTCCACTTCCCAAGTGCTGGGGTCATGGGTGTGTGTCAGCATGGTTCCTTCCCCTTCATCACAGTGACTTAGCACACACACCCTCCTGTCACTGCTTGTTTAGTATTTAGTCTGCAGAATAACTCTCAGTTTCTTTTTGGTTTTATCAATCCAAAAAAAAAAAAAAAAAAGAAACAGGTCCATTGGTGGATGATGCAAGACAAGTGTAAGATGGTAGGAATGAATAGTCTATGAATTGCCTGTCATAGAGAGGCTAGAAGATAACTTTACTTTTTTTTTTTTTGAGACAAGGTCTCTATGCAGCCTTGGCTCTCCTTGTACTCAGTATATACCAGGAGCCCTACAGGGATTCAACCCTCTCTACCTCCCGAGTGCTGGGATTAAAGGTATAGGTCACATAATGAGTTCCAGGACAGCCAGAGCTATATAGTGAGACCCTGTCTCAAAAGAAAAACAAGGCAGGGTAGTGGTGTCGTGAACCATTAATTCCAGGACTAGGGAGGCAGAGAGAGGCAGGTGAATCTCTTGAAGAGTTAGAGGCAAGACTGTTAGGCTACACAATGAAACCCTGTCTTGAAAAAAAGAAAACCAAAAGAACCCAAATGGGTGCTAGGTGAGAGCTTCCTCTTTGCTGTAGATCTATCTGATCCTGTGTCTTGGGTAATGAATGCACCCAGACACTCCATGGTTCTTTTCTCTCCCACTTTTTTAGTTCATAACTATGAGATGTCATTTTAGGGGGGAAACTCCATGCTGGATTTTATATATAGTTGAATACAGTTATGTCATTCCATGGTTATTGAGTTCAAGATTCATAAAGGGAATTGCCATTGCCAGTATGGTAGCTGGGCCTGAAATCCAGCATCAGGGAGACAGCATTAGGAAGGTCACAAGTTCAGAGCTCTTGGAACTGGGCACATGGCATGCTGTGCCAGCTCCAAGACCTGAATGGAGATCCCCATCACCCTGAGATGGGGCCACATCCTCTGGTAACACAGTTCTGTAGAAGGTGGAGACTGGAGGATCAGTAAAAGACCCATCATAAAGGAATAAAGTCAGAACTGATGGCAAAGTCACCATATCATGCTCCTGGCCTCCGTATATATACAGAGGAGTGCAGACACACATAGTCTCTTCACATATTTTATTTTTATTTATTTTTCAGAAATGGTGTCACCTTGTAGCTCTGTCTGGCCTAAAAACATTCTATATAACGAAGTATGACCTTCAGCTCCTGTTCTCCTGCCTCCACCACATGGGATTAAAGGCACTTGACCTGTTTGTGTAAATTTGAAAACCACACACACATAAAACAAATAGGCAACACACTAACAGGTTCCTCCTTTTCTGGGTATAGGACCTTAATTGGTGACTTTTAGTGTCTTTTTTCTCCATTTGTGTTCTCAAACCATTCTCAAACTCTTGTCTTCCCAGAAAATGTGGACACAGACTTCCAAGCCAACCTGGGGCAGATGGAAGAGAAGCCTGTGCCTGCTGCGCCTGTGCCCAGCCCAGTGGCGCCAGCCCCGGCGCCATCCAGGAGAAATCCTCCTGGTGGCAAGTCCAGCCTGGTCTTGGGTTAGCTCCTTCTGCTGGAACTCTGTCCTTCTGTTTGTTTTTCCATGCTTGTGAACTGCACAACGTGAGCCTGACTGTACATGTTTTGGATTTGTTTCATTAAAAGAGAAGCACTTTATGTTCTGCTGTCTTTTTTTTTTTTTTCCTTTTTTTCCTTTTCTTTTCTTCCCCTGCTTTCTCTTTCTCTGTCTGACTCCTGGATCTGTGGGCCATGGCATGAATGTTTTCTAGTAGTAGACTGGAGTAGTAGGCTGTTTCTAAGAACAAATGATCTGTTTCCTGATATGTTAGAGACTCTTTTGTACCAGGGCTATTGATGCTGTACTTGGCTTTCTGTGATGGGACGAACAGCCACAGGCCCTGCCCTGCAGCCAGTCCACCTGTACCAGCTGTCTATAGTCATTGCTCTGCTCTCCTTGGTGCCGCCCCACTGAGGCGTCCTTTGCTAAGCAGCACCTTCCTGTGCCATATGGAATGATGAAAGCAGCTATACCTCACACTCCGCTGCGTGCAAAGCAAAGGAGCTGCCTTTTGTACCCTGAGGATGCCAGGAGTCACTTTGACTGGCCGGCTGCTGGGCAGAACCACCCAGGTGCACAAGATGGCTTCAGGTGTACGACCACACTGCCTTGGAATTGCAAGGTGAAGCACACAGGGGTGGCAGTCCCAGAGTGGGGCTATAGGTGCAGGTCCCACAGGGACCTCTTAACGGAATAACTCACTGATGCCATGTGCATGATGCTGGTGCTTGACCACAAAGAAAGTCTCATCCTTGAAGCTTGTACTTCCCAGTCCTGGACTGTTGCTTAAAGTAAATAATCCCACCTTTTGAAGCACCTCGTCTTGTCTTTTTTTTTTTTTTTTAGGGGTGTATATATGTGAGTGAGGGGGGAGAGAGAGGAAGAGGGAGGGCAACAACTGTGTAGCTGAGGCTGACCTTGAACTCCTGACTCCACTATCAAGTGCTGTATTGCACTTGTGCCTAGTTTATGTAGTGCTTGAGGGGTAGAACCCTCCCTGGGTTTCCTGCATGCGAGGCAAGCTTTCTACTGACAGCTGCATCTCAGCCCTGTCTTTTTGACAGTTTGAATGTCCTTCCTGGACCTATCCTAGGAACAATCCCACCCAATGGTTTGAAAAGGCATTCAGAGTTAAAACAGCATAATGAAAGTCCAAAGGGAAGTGGAATTTTCTTCCAAAAATACAGGCTAGGTTTTTTGTTGTTTTTTGAGACAGATTGTCGCTCTTATGCTTTTATTGAGTTCACTTCAGCTTCCCACAGGCTGGAGTGCAGGTTTTCACCACCATAGCTGGTTAGGACAAGCTTTTCTACCTCTGATCATTTGTATTAGACAGTAACATAGTGACATTTAGTCTATTTTGGAGCCAGGGGCAGATGTAGGAGGCCCTGACTTTGAACCTCTGTCGCAGCCCACCTTTTATGTGCGCAGTCCTTTTTGTTCTTGTCACCATCGCTGTCCTATCATTCCCCACACCCAATACCAAGGACCAAAGCTACCTTGAGATCTGTAAATGTTAAAGTTAAGAGATGAAGGCTGCAAAAGAGAGTCCACATAACAGTATGCCCCTCAATCGAGGTGGCAGCAGGAAGGCAGAAGCTTTCTGGGCTCAGCAAACAGGAAGCTTCAGGTCAGCTGCCACGTTGCAGTGTCCAGATCTGGCTTTAAAACCTGACTTGTCCACCTGTGTTTTCTGACAGGCTGGGCTCTTTGCCATCCCTTCTGGGTGTCTACTTCCTTACTGGTGAAATAAGGCCTTGGAGCTACTAGGCCTATCTTTGAGAAAGATTACAGGGCTAGAGAGATGTCTGAGCACTAAGACTGCTTACTGTTCTTAAAGTTTGGTCCCTGCACCCGCTTTAGGTGGCCCCCAACTGTTTAGCTCCAAGGGATCTGATGTCCTGACCTCCACTCGCACCTATACATATGTGGCACAGACAGAAAAATCTTAGAAAAAGCATAGGGATTGCTAGGTTATAAAGCATTTTACATAGTGTTGAATTGGCAGCTGAAGCCTAGGATCATTTCAGTGTACTGAAGCAAGCTAGCCTGAATGGAGATACGGCTTTCCTGGCCCTGTAACACTACGTGTTGTCTTATAGGGAGGGAACATGTACCCACCTTTTCAGCCTCTTAACAAGGGTGGAGTTCCTGGGGAGGGAGCTCCTTAGCTGGTGTTCTAACTTGATGGTTGGCCTTAACTTTTACTGTAGAGATAAGCACCTCATCACAGGTGTTCTGAGGGAGTGGCTGCTCAGCCAGTCTCAGATTGTTGGAGCAGATTTTAGGGGAAACACTTTCTGGAGGGGGTTCAGCACCTCAGGTTAGAAAAGAGGATCTGAGAGTCAGGCATGGTGGCACACACCTTTAATTCCAGCACTCAGGGAGGCAGAGGCAGGTGGATTGATGTGAGTTTGAGGCCAGCCTGGTCTACAAAGCAAATCCAGGACAGCCAGGGCTACATGGAGAAACCCTGTGGGGGGGAGAGAGGGGGAAATCTGTAAAGCCATATGATCTTCAAACTTTTTAAAAACAGGGTTGGTGTGCTGGGAGGATTGCTTAGTGGTTAAGAACATTTGCTGCAGGGCTGGAGAGCTTGCCCAGCAGTTAAGAGCACTGTCTGCTCTTCAGAGGTCCTGAGTTCGTTCCCAGCAACCACATGGTGGCTTCCCAGCCATCTAGAGTGAGGTCTAATGCCCTCTTCGGGTGTGTAGGTGTACATACAAATGAAGCACTCACATAAAAAATAAATCTTAAAACAACAAAGAGTTCGCTCCTCTTGCAGAAAAAACAGGTTCAGTTCTCAGAACCCACTTAGCAGCTCACAACTGGCCCTATTTCCAGAGCCCCTGAAGCCTACTGGCCTCTGCATGCATGAATATATATATATATATATATATATATATATATACATGTCGACAAAACACCCACATCTTTTAAAGTATGGGGCGCGGTGGTACGTGCATATAATCCCAACAAACACTCAAGAGGGGCAGGCAGGAGCACTGGGAGTTAAAGGCTCGCCTAGGTAGATAATGAATTCAAGACAAACCTGGGTGCATAAAACCGTGTTCCAAGGGGGGGGGGTGTCCACGAGGTGTTAGAGGAAGTCCAGGGTGAATAGGGTAAAAATATATTGCATACATTATGAAATTCTCTAATTAAAAGTCACCCAAAGGATAGGAGAAACACATCTGAAGATGAACCTTTTAACTCTGTTCATGTGCGTTGCTTGGCTTAGTGAAAATTCAGTCCTAAAGTAAGGGCTTAACGGGTTTTTGTTTTGAGTCAGGGAGCGATCCACCTGCCTCTACCTCCTAAGTGCTCGAATTCGTTGTTTTAAACTGGCTTTTCAAGTGAGATGTCCGGCTTCTGTCACAGTGTAAGTTTAGGAGTCATGAGATAGCAGCGTGTGGCAGCACTTGCCTTCAATCCCAGGAGGAGCAGGAGAATCTCTGGGAGTTTGGACCCCGCCTGCGCTACATGGTGAGTTACAGGTCTGGGGTTATGCGGAGAAACCCTGTCTTTAAAATAAAATAAAATAAAATAAAACAAAAGCTTTTAAGTCCAGCAATTGGGAGGCAGAGACAGCGGATCTTCGTGAATTCGAGGCCAGCCTGGTCTAGATACTGTGTAACAGAGCTGTTACACAGAGAAATCCTGTCTCGATAAACAAAAAAACAAAAGCCATTAGATAGAGAGGAAGAGCCAGAAAGAGGGCTCACTCAGATCTGCAAAAATGGGTGTATATGTCAATGCTTAGCATTTTCTAGAAGGAAAGAATTTTGAATTTGTAGGAGAGCTCGGTTCCACGGAAAAAGCAGTGGACTCAGATTGAAATCAACGCTGCTGTTTCAAAACAACTCTGGCTCATGAGTCCGTCTCTTGAGAGCCTAGTTCATGCCCAGTTTCCTTTCAAGGGTCCTTTCCCCTTCCTTGAACTGGGAGCCTCACGATCTCGGAATTGGGGTCCCTGTGTGCCCCTGCCCGCCTCCAGCCTGGACAAGCAAGGGAGAGAGGGCAGTACGCAAGCATGTGCAGCAGGTTCCCTATTGCAAGGGTATTTCGGATCTCGGAGGTGGGGAGGAGGGAGGGATACTGATTCTGCCTAGGAGCGGCAGCCCCATAAGGGGCTCAAGGCCATCCTAGGTTCCTCAAGGGCCACGCTATGCAAATGAGCCGGGTCGGGTCCCGCCCCCTACTCGAGTCCCGGAAGCTTGTTTCTGGGGCTGGCATCCTCCGTGCTTGTTGCCCGGGCGTGGCCATGGCGGTGCGGCGGCCAGTACGCGTGCTGGTAGACATGGACGGCGTGCTGGCCGACTTCGAGTCAGGCCTCCTGCAGGGATTCCGCCGCCGCTTCCCCGGGGACCCGCACGTGCCGCTGGAACAGCGCTGGGGCTTCCTCGCCAGTGAGCAGTATGGAGCCCTGCGGCCGGACCTGGCGGTAGGAGGCCAGACGGAGACCCTCTAGTCCCCGCCCCTGATCAGGGCCATCTGGGTTCTATTTCAGGCACCCCCAGCTTCTGAATCCACAGTTCACCCCCGTACCGGAAAGCCTGAGCGTGCCTCCCCCACATCCCCCAGCACCTTACCCCCAGCCTGGACTTATTGTGGGTCCTCTCTGGGGCTCCCCCTGCTGGAAGGCAGGAGCGGGACCGAGATCTGTCTCTTTCAGGAGAAAGTGGTCAGTGTCTATGAAGCTCCAGGCTTTTTCCTAAACTTGGAGCCCATTCCTGGGGCAGTGGATGCTTTGCGGGAGATGAACAACATGCAAGAGTAAGGAGGGTAGGCAGGGGGCGGTGGGAGGACGCCAGCGCCCTAGCTTTAACTGCCCCTCTCTCCGCAGTACCGAGGTCTTCATTTGCACCAGCCCACTGCGGAAGTACGACCACTGCGTTGCAGAGAAGGTGCTGGCGCCTGCGCAGATTTAGCTTTCCAAATTTGATTTTAAAAATAAGCCACAGGATGGGGGGGGCTGGGAAAAAGGGGTATCCGCGCGTTTGACGGCTTAGTCCCGCTTAGCCCCATGCCTCACTGATCCTAGCAAGTTCCACTTTTTTTTTTTTTTTTTTCCCTATACAGTACCGCTGGGTGGAGCAGCACCTGGGGTCTCAGTTTGTGGAGCGGATTATCCTGACCAGAGACAAGACAGTGGTCATGGGCGACCTGCTCATTGATGACAAAGACACTATTCGAGGTTGGGCCACTTAACCTGACAACCTCCAGGCATCTGGCCTGCTGGGATTAGGGAGAGGAGTAAAAATAACCAGATTACAGACCGCTTGCTTTGCCTTTCCTGTCCCAGGCCTAGAGGAGACCCCAAGATGGGAGCACATCTTGTTCACCTGTTGCCACAATCAGCACCTGGCTCTGCCCCCCACCAGGAGACGGCTGCTCTCCTGGAGTGACAACTGGAGGGGGATCATAGACAGCAAGCGAGCCAGCCTGTGAAGGACCCTGAGGTGGGTCGACAGGTTACAGTCAGGTGACTTTCTCCAAGCAGGGAGCCACTGTGACCTCCACGTGAACCAACTCTGCCTTCCCACCCCTCTCAAGAGGGCTGCACCCAGAAGGCCCGCACAGAAATACAGTGGAAAATCAGTCAGTAGGTTTTTAATAAAAATCAAAACCAAGGCTCTGGTTCTTTGAAGGCCCTTTTTTCGAGGACAAAAAAATGACCAGTGCCTGGGGGGACTCCCTGCTAAGAGGCCTCCCCCCTCCCTCATCCAGTGGCTCCACTGGCAGCCCCCTCCACAACTTGTCGATCTCCTTCTCATCAGGCCTGCTCTCCTTTCACTCTTTCCCCTTAGTTTCATTTTGTTCCTCTCACTGGCAGAGGTGGGAGAGGTCACCAGTTACAGAATCTCGCTGTCCTTGTTACTTTTCTTTGTGACAGGTTCTTACTCCATGATCCAAGTTGACCAGGAACTCCCTAGGTGAGCTGGTGTCAAACTCAGGGCTATCCTTCTGCCTCTGTTGAGCCACTGTGCTTGCTGGCATCTAGTTTCTAGGTGTCTTTACTCAAGGTCTGCATCAGGGTCCTAAGGGGTTGGCAGCTGCTGCTGGAGGCTGGCGGCTCCTGGGAGAGTGGCGGGAAGCAGCTCTGGATAGCTCAGGAAGGGTGCATGCCCAGGGCTTTCGCCTGAGTGTCAGAAGGTTCCGATCATGGCAGAGGGGGCCAGAGCAACTTTTTTGAAGAGACAAGGATGCTACAGTTGGCAGCTGGTACATGAAAAGTCCACAGACTGACAAGAAGAGCTGAAGTCACTGTGTCTCTATCCCAGGACCCCATGTAGGGCCTTTCCAAAGAATCTAGGTGTGCAACCTCCACACCCAGCTCTCCAGTCTTTCGTCTGCTCCCCAGACCTGGAGAGCCTTACTCCTAACGCCTGATAGCCATTTAGTGAACTGTCACTGAGCTGTGACAGCGAGGGGCAGAGGCTTCATCTCTGAACTCCTTACATGGTGCCTCGTGGAGAGCAGAGTTGTGTGGACAGTTGTTTCTGGGCTGCAGAGCTACCATGTCAATGTCTACTATGCCCAGACTCTGTACTGGAGGAGTCACCCCTCAGTACCTTCCCAGCTAGTTGGGTCTCTAGACCCAGCTGATCTCTAGACATCAAAATCACTTGGGACACTCACAGTACTGCTCACTCTCCCACATCTCGGTTCTAGCAGCTACTTTTGAGTACACCCATGGGCAAAGCTTTTTACATAAGGATGTTAGCTGGGCCCTGGGGGCACCAGAGTGTCTTCTGTCTGTAGTTTGTTGAGTGCCAGTCCATGAAAGCCAGACCTGCTTTGGTTTTCTCCTCTAAGCATCTCAAGTCTGGCTTCATCACTCCTGCTTTTCTAGGACGCAAATGTGCACCATGCTCAGACTTTGTGCTGCACACAGCTGACGGGCACCACTTGGGCAGGATGGCCTCAAGATGCTGTTAGCCGCCTTCTTCCTGTACCTGTGCCAGGACTGGTCTCAGGCGGGATCTTGGAGTCTCATGGCTGCTGTGGGGCCTCATTCTTTGGCAGTGGGATACCCAGGGCAGAATGGGCCTGCTGGCTGTGGGCCTCAGCCACCTGGCTTGGGGAACAGAAGTCTTCTAGGAATATCTGGGCCAGGTTCCGAAGCCTCGTGTTGGCTGACAGAGAAAAGCGCAGCATGCACTGGACCACGGGCAGGGAGGTTAGCTCAGGATGGGAGCGGGTGCTCGGTGAGCTCAAGAACATGAGTGTGGTGACAGCAGATAACACCGTCTCCTCGTCAGGACTAGACAGGCAGTTGGTGATGAGTGGGATGCCTCCTGCCTGCAGGATGTGCTCCTTGTTGGCCTTGTCTGGGCACAGGTTGCAGAGGCCCCCTGGAGAAAGTCAAGGATGAGCCGGGGTACTCTGGTCCTGGCTTCCTCTCCTCTCCACTCCCAGCTTCTCTCTGGCTAGTAAGTCTTGGAAAAGTGCCCACACCTAGGGAGAAGTCTGCCCATGGACAAGGGCAGCAAAGTCACCAAGCCCCATTACTCTCCCGAGGCTTCAGGAAGTCCAGCCTGCCACAATTACTTACTTCAACTGAAACAGACACAAAACCATGCTTTACTGTTAATAGAATTCTCAAGAGTAGAAAAGTCCAGAGGGACAGACCAGTGACTCTGGATTTAAAAAGCTGTCAAGAGATAGCTCAGAGGTTAAGAGCACTGGGTGTTCTTCCAGAGGATTTGAGTTCAGTTCCCAGCACCCTCATGGTGGCCCACAACTCCAGAGGCGCCAATGCCTCTTGTGTCTATAGACATCAGGCATGCATGTAGTGCATGTACACACATGCAGGCAAAAACCCTGACATAAAAATAAGAGCCAGCATCTGCACAGGAAGTATGGCCAAGAACCCCTCCCTCCATTCTCCCAGGTTAGGTCCCCTCATTCAATGGCCTGTTAGACTTGGGCACAGATGCTACTTTTCTAGAGGAACACTTTGCTTAGCTCTGGCTCAAGGCAGGAAGACAACTTCCTATACTCACTGACTCAGCTTCCAACCATCAGGGTTCTAGGCCCCTCTGCCTAGCTGACGGCATCTGCTGGAGATGGAGAGTAGGGTGAGGACCCGGGATAAGGACTGAGAGTTTCCAAGACAAGAAGAGTGGGCAGGGCACCAAGTCAGTACCAGGTGACCCACCAGAGCTCCTGGCCCAGCCCACATTCCTGGAGCCTGCCTGCTATGAAGAGCTAAGAAGGGCCATGGAGCTGGGCACACGGGAGGCAGAGACAGGCAGATCTCTGAGTTCAAGGCCAGTCTGGTCTACACAGAGAAACCTTGTCTCAAAAAAAACCAACCAACAAACAACCTCCCCTGCCCCTCCCCCCACCAAAAGGAAGAAGAGCTATGGAGGAAAGGCAACACATAGGACTGGGGTTTAGTCAGTGAAGAAACTGCCCAGCATTTGAGTCATCCTGAGTTCTATGCTCAGCATTGCCAGTCTCCCAAAATAGTGATAGTGAGAAAAAGTGAGGATAGTGAGAAAGAAATAGAAACTAGGAATTTCATGACATGCTAAATATAAGTAGCAAACCCATTCAATAAGTAAGTTACAGCAAGCCTACTAAATGAAAAATCATACAGAACCTTAAAACTAATGTCTGCAGGCCAGAGAAAAATGGTTCAACAGCTAGAGTGTACACAGGACCTGAGCCTGGTTCCCAGCACCCCCACTGGGTCCTCACAGCTGCATGGATCCAGCTTCAGGGGATCTTGAAGACCCCGCTTGGCCTCTGTGGACACTGCCACTCATGCACAAAGCCTTAAGAACGAGTCTTGCTCTGAAGCATAGGTCAAGCCTCCTTGAAGCATAGCCTCAAGCTCTCCTGCCCCAGCCTCCTGAGTGCTGCAGTTACTAGCTGGTACTAAAGTACCAACAGGAAATTCTGCTTTTCCCTGCTAGGCATGGATACAAAGTACAGCCCTGTCTCAAAACAAAACAGCCAGGCTAAAGAGATGGCTTGGTGGTTAAGCATACTTCCTCTTCTTGAGGACCAAAGTTCTGTTCCCAGGACCCACACTAGGCAGCTTTCAACTGCTTGTAACTCTAGCTCCAGGGAAGTCAAAACCTTCTGTCCTCCACAGGAACCCATGGTATACATATAGCATTCACACACAGACATAACCCTATGTATGAATAAAAATAGACAAACAAAAAATACAAGGACAGGAGAGAAGGCTCAGCAGTTAAGACCATACAGTGCTCTTGTAGAAGACCAGGTTCTCCCACATAAAGCAGCTCACAACCAACCTGTAACTACAGCTTTGTATGATCTGATGTGCTTTTCTGGCAACTATGCTAACATGGACCTACCTACTCACACCTCCTCCCCTGACACAGATAAAATAAAACTTTATCATCAACTTTAGAGCTGGGAGGCAGCTCAGTGGATAAAGTGCTTGCCATGCAGGCATGATGGCATGAGTGTGATCCCAGCACCCATAGGGATAAACCAGACACAATTGTGTGGCCTATAACCTCTTCATAGCAGGGGAGGGGGGATAGAGGCAGGAATATGTGTGCATGCATGTGTTTGGTAAGCTCCAGATTTAATGAGAGACACTGTCTCCAAAAGTCACAGTGGAGAGCCACAGAAGACAACCCTCAGCATTCACCGCTGGCTTCCACACTCATGAACAACCACACAGAAAAAAATTTGTGTGTATGAATGTGATAGGGTCTCACAGTATAGCTCTGGCTGGTCTAGAAGTTGCTATGTAGACCAGGCTGGCATTAGAGATTCGTCTGCCTTTGCCTCCCACATGCTGGTATTAAAGTTCTGTGTTGCCTTCCTACAACCCTTTACTTTTTTTTTTTTTTTTTTTTTTTAAAGAAAACAGATTTAGCTTCTTGTTCAGGAAAACACCAAATGGCAGGTGACACCGGTGCAAGGAGTCCCCCCCTACCCCAGGCTTCCCAGGAGGATTTGCCTTAGGGTTAGGGGCTGAGGTAGTGGCCAGGAGCTGTGGGCGTGGCCAAGGCTGGGGGAGGGGGGCTAGGTGAGATAAAGCCGAAGACAAGGAGTGGATCCCTGTTACCAAGCTGGGCCTGGGCCACCTGGTTAAGGACATGAATATAAAGTCCTTATTCTCCCTGCCCATTAAGGAATCTGAGATTACTGACTTTTTCCTGGGTGCATCCTTGAAGGATTAGGTTCTAAAAATCATGCCAGTGCAGAAGCAGACACAGGCTGGCCAGCAGACACGGGCTGGCCAGTGGACCAGGTTTGAGGCTTTTGTTGCTATTGGGGACTACAATGGTCACGTTGGTCTTGGTATTAAGTGTTCCAAGGAGGTAGCCACTGCCATCCGAGGAGCCATCATCTTGGCCAAGCTTTCCATCATCCCTGTATAGAGAGGCTATGGGGACAACAAGATTGGCAAACCCCACACCATTCTGTGCAAGGTGACAGACTGTTGTGGCTCTGTTTTGGTGCGTCTCATCCCTGCCCCCAGAAGCACTGACATTGTCTCTACTCCTGTGGCCAAGAAGCTACTGATGTTGGCTGGTATTGATGACTGCTACACATCAGCCAGGGGCTGCACTGCCACCCTGGGCAACTTTCCTAAGGTTTTGATGCCAGCTACCTGACCCCTGACCTCTGGAAAGAGACTGTGTTCACCAAGTCTCCTTATCAGGAATTCACTGATCATCTTGCGAAAACCCACACCAGAGTCTGTTCAGAGCACCCAGGCTCCAGCTGTGGCTACCACATAAGGGTTTTTATACAAGAAAAATAAAGTGAATTAAATCTAAAAGAAAGCAGACTTAGTGGTGTTAGGGATGGGGGAGGGAGAAGATACTGGGAGAAACTGCAGCTGGAGGATGGGTAGGGAGAAGATACTGGGAGAAACTGCAGCTGGAGGGCATTTCAGGGCGAGGAGGAAACCTAGTGCAACGCAACATCCATGGAGTCTACCAGAGGAAACCTGGCGAAGGCTCCTAGTAACGGGGACGAGAAGGCTGAACTGTCATCAGGGAAGGCCTCAAGTGGAGGGAATGGGACACCAACCCAATGACAAAACCTTCAATCTACAGTTTGTCCTGCCTGCAGTGTCCTGGGAGCAGAGCCTAGTAGAATCATCATCAAGGAGACCAGAGAGACTTCATCCAGCAGCTGATAGGAGCAGATGCAGAGTCCAGCCAAACATCAGGCAGAGCTCAGGAGGGGGAGGAAGAATTGGAGGAAGCAGAGAGGTCAGGGACTACAGGAGCACACGGCCGGCCCGCAGAATAAATGACCAAGACTCATGGGGTCTGATGAGATCAGGGAGCCAGTAAGGGTCTGACCTAGGTCCTCTGCATATACATTATGGCCAAGTAGTTTGCTGTTCTTGAGAATCCTAACATGGGAACAGGGCTGTCCCTGACTTTTGTCTACTTGTGGGACCCCCTTTTGAGCTGCCTTGTTGTGATGGTATGTGCCTGGTCTTACTTATTGTAGCTTGTTTTGCCATGTTTGGTTTATGTCCCTGGGAGGCTTGCTGTTTTCTGAGGAGAGGCAGAGGGGGGTAGGTCCAGGGAAAGGGGTGATGGTGAGGAGCTGAGGGAGGAGAAACTGCAGTAGGGATGTACTATATGAGAGAAGAATAAAAATGAATTTTAAAAAACTAGATTTAGGGGCTGGAGAGATGACTCAGTGGTTAAGAGCACTGTCTGTTCTTCCAAAGGACTCGGGTTCAATTCCCAGCACCCACATGGCAGCTCACAACTATCTGTAATGCCAACTCCAGGGGATCTGACACCTTCACACTAATGCACATAAAAGAGAATTAAATATATATATATATATATATATATATATATATATATATATGTATAAACTAGATTTAGGATGGATCTTGCACTATCTCACTTAACATAAAGTCACCCATGGGGACAGTGGTGAGAGCTGTGCTTGCATGGGGCATGTGGGAGAAACAAGATACACCTTGACCAAGCAGCCATTACATGTAGAGGCACATTCTTTAATGAACTGAAGGATTAATTAAGCCGCCACTTGTGTGCATTCACTGTACATTCATTATACTGTACTTACAAGAGAGTTAAAAAAACAAAACAAAAAGGTGTGCGCTGGGGTGTGGCTCAGTAATAGAGTGCTTGCTTAGGTTCTTGGGTTCATCCCCAGCACCACCAAAAAAGAAAGAAAAGAGCAAGTCCTGACTAGCTGAAGAATTTGCTTTGGACAGACAAAGACAGGGGAAGAAAAGAGCTAAAGGCAAGAGGCAAAGGCAGGGCGCCAATAACCAGAGAACCCCCTGAAAGGCAGAACCTGAAATGAGGGGCTGGGCTTGGAGAAACAGGTGACCTGGTGCCACAAAGTAGGAGCTGGT